AATTACACATAAAGTTCCATAACTTTCAGACACCTGAAAAAATGTAGTAATTAGATATACTTGTAAAGTTCAAAAATTTACAATCGTTACTCACTTTGATGGCTTAATAGCTTCATAAAAACCGGCAACATCAAAACGTGTTGGATTCTTTCTTGAAGAAGCGGAGTTATCTCCTGCATCTGCATTTGAATCAATGCTCTTCCCACTTGGTGCAGGACTAAATCCATATCTAGCCTCAGAAGTCAAGACCTCAGGACGCAGCCAAGCCATGACATTCATCATACTCTTCTTCCAAAGTTGCCTCGTAGTATCAAGAAGTGAATCACAAGCATCGAATGCCCTTCTCAGAATCTCAACCCTCATCCTCACAGACTGCAAATCTTCCGATAATGTAAACTTCAAAATAGGCCTCAAAGTCAAGAAATTCAAGCTAACTAAATGAACAAGACCCGAAACAGCCTCATCTGGGCCGTCAAAATTCCCGGACACCATGACAGCATTGCTCTCCATTCCCTCGGTCGCACGTCTCACCACAAATTGTAAATAAATGCTAGAGGCAGATAATTCAGGCCAATGCCCCAATTTCATTCGATTAAGATACCCATCTACATTGCGCAAACTAAATCTCAACAAAAACCTCGAAGAATCTCCATAAAATTCTTCCTCGTTCAAAGCAGACCCGTAGAATTCTCGATTTAATTCCAAATTTGATAAAACAATTTCTGAAATATCAAAATGCTGGCTGGCCGTATCCCAACTAGCCCTAGTATCCACTTGAACAAAATATGGCTTGTCAACACCGATATCGATCAATTCGTCCTGCTCCTCAGGTTTAATACCAGTAGTTTCAGTGACGTCATCCAATTCTGCTGCTTGGGAGGTTTGTCCCTGCTGCAACCCTACCGCTCGACGTGGTCGAAATTGCTTCCTTCGACCCATTATTCTTCTTGTTGCTCCAACAAAAACCCCAAGTTCGGCAGACAAAACAACCAGATAGGAAAACCTGAGATATGGTGGTAAGGTAACAGAGCATTCAAGTGCGTGAGCCTTCTTATATGAAGAAAAGTTCCAACTGAAGGCCTAAAGATTTTTCTGCTTAAAACTGGAAATCCGAAGCCTGTAGACTGAGCAGGGCTAGCGTCATAGTGTTATGTTGCTGACAAAAATTTTTTGGTGGGAAAGGAATGGTCAGTGGTGAGGGAAGGTGAGGTTCCGAAGAATCTCACTCTGCCTGTTGGAAGAAGTGGAGGTAACTATAAATAAATAAATACGAACATAAGCAAGGGTTACCTAACCATTAATCTCCTTACATTACACTAATGATTCTCACTTTTCTTCCCTTTTTTCTTTCTTATTGGTCGCTGGAGCCTGCGAGATGTTTAGTTCTTAATTTTCTTTTCTTTTTTTTTTTCCTTCATTCTTTTCCTAATCAATTTTAACCTATGAGCTAACTTTGACCACTCTAATTCATGGTGATAAAGTATCACTGAAATTTTCTTTGTCTACAATCACAACAGAGAAGTAGATTTATAGAAAATATACTAAATTTTTGAATACTTATAAAAAGTGGTAAAGAAATTAATCTAATACACAAAAGTATTAGAGGGAAAAGCAACATAAATGTCTCCAGATAACATATGAACGTGATTGTAAAAAATGAGTACTTTATATTCAATTATCTAATTATAAGGATATGGAATAAAATTTTTTAGATTAAAAAACACATGAAACTAATTTATAATGAAAGAATATATATATATATACATATATATATTGTAAATCAGATAATCATATCCAAACCTTTTTGTGTAGCATGGATTATAGTAATAAATAAAAGAGACACACGTTAGTTTAGAAACTCTATAATTTAAAAATAATAGAATAAAAATTCAATTCGTTTACAAAAACATTTTGAAAAAGAAAACAGATGGACAAAGGAATTTTTTTTTTTTTAAACAAGGAATTGAAAGCAGAAAAATATTTTGGAAAAAAAAAGAAAAAATAAACATAATAGAGGGATAGTTTGATCATGCAAAGAGTTAACTAATACAAATAAAAGTTAAGGAATAAATAGATAATTAAGGTATCCGTTAGGAGATCAATTATAATTATCCTTATAAATAAGTCCATTTCATGATTTTGATTCAAGTAGTAACAAATGAAAAAAAAAATGGAAACGGAGCAATAACAATATAACAATAAAAGGCAACCTTTCGTTTTGATTTCTTATATTTTGAAAAACAAAATTTTTATATATAAAATTACAGTATATCCGCAAATAAAAAATAATTTCAAACACAACATATCTATACAATATATCAAAAATAACTTCAAATATATAAAAAAATAAAAATAAACTTTACACTTTTTTTTTCTATCTATCACTACTATCCACCACCACTATTCCTACTCACTATCGCTACCATTTTCCCCTTTCTTCTCTTTTTTTTCCCTCCCTCTTCCTCTTCCCATTCTCCTTTTTCCTGCCACATCTCACCTCTCCTCTTCCTTCCTAGATCTGGCCTCGACCATAGGCTATAATCTGGTCACATTGTCGTGACCAGAGGTCTCGATCGATCTCGACCAGATATGAGGAGGGGGGAAGGGAAGGGGTGACCAGTGGTGCGAAAATGGATAAATAAAGGAAGAAAAATGAAGAATGGGAGGAGGATGATGGAAGAGCAAGGGATGAGGAGGAAGAAAGAGAGAGAGGGGATGGTGTTGGTAATTTAAAAAAAATATCACACAAAATTTTAAACTTTTAAAAACTTCAAAATATATTTTAAAAATACCACCAAAAAATATCTAAAGTAAAAAAATTTTCATATACACTATTAAAGTAAAATATTTTAAAAACAATCCAAAAAATAGTTGATTCCAACCGTTTGGAATAGTTATTTTTAGGGGTGCTTTTGAAAAATTTTACTATAGTAATGTATATAAAAAATTTTTACTATGAGAACTTTTTAAAATATTTGATATATTATATGAATGAAATGCTTTTGGAGTTATTATATATTACTGTAGTATTGTATTTGAAAAATTTGTTTTTGAAAAAAGGTCAATCCAAAAGGACGAAGTTTGATTTATTCAACGGACTTTTCACTTAAAAAAAAAAAAACAAGTTAAAAGCATTTCCCTAATCTCCCTTTTCCAAAAAAAAAAAAGTTATAAGCATTTCCCTTGCTCAAAAATAAAGAAATAAACAGTAAATAAATACTACTCTATAGTTTTATTAACATATCCAGTCTACGCGCAAATGCAAGATGTTTCAATTGAGTTTCAATTGCTGATGTGGCACATTCTTATTGGTCAATTGATGGTAGTCATCCTGCAATTGATTGAATTGGTGAATTGAATTGAGGACAGAAATGAGATTTCACCTCCTTATCTACCTATCCCAATTACTAGGCCCATGTAGCAGTGACCAGAAACTAGGGGTGAGCAAATTCGGTTCTTACCGAATTCATAACCGATTTCAAATTCAATTCGGTAATTTGAAATCGGATATTTGGTAATTCGGTACGTACCAAATTCACCGAATTCTAATATGGTATGAAATAGGTAATGAGATTATGAATTAGGTAATAACCGATTTCGCATTCAAATTCGGTAATTGAAATCGGGTATCGCATTATCGCATTCAAATTACCAAATTGGTATATAAAATTATATAATATATTAGTATTAGTGTATACTACTAATACTTTATTATATTATATAGGTAAATGCTATTAATAATAATTAGTATATGGTATTATCATCATATCATGTACTTATAATACTAATAATATATAATAATGTACAATATATTTATATTATTTTAGTATTTATTAATTGTTATATGACTACAATAATGCATAGTAATACATTACAATATAAGATAACTATAATACTTATTATTTTACACATGAGTAACATGACTAGAATTAGATAATAATTAATACATATTTGTATAATACTAAATATTAAACAATAAACATAATTAGTAATTAGAATTTAGATATTGGTAATTTGATACATCATTCATGTTTGAATTATTGAATATTTAAATGCATAATTTATAATTTGCAAGTATTAGTGTACTCTAAATTTACATTACATATTCACTAATCTTAAGGCCTTAAGTATAGATAAGACAACTAAGCAGTGTGAGTGAATGTATATGAATTGCAAACCAATGTATTAGTGTATTGACTTTCACAATAACATATGTAAATAAATAAGTTTAATTTTGATTTGAAATAAATTATAAGTTTGTAACTAACATAACTTATCACTAATCATTGTAATTTGTAAGTTTGTAACTAATATTACTTATTATTAATCATTGTAAATTATAAATTCATAAATTATTACTAACCATTGTACAGTCTAAGGTTTATTCTAATTTAAATTAATCACTTTTTATGTGTTCCTTAAATCATAGACTAAGGATTGTAGGTATAAGTGATCAAATAAGTTAAAAGTTCATATTATCTATTTACTTATCTTAAGGCTTTAAGTATAGACAAAATAACTAAGCAGTGTAAGTAAATACATGTGAGTTGCAAATCAAGTAAATAAGTTTTATTTTGATTTGAAATAAATTATAAGTTTGTAATTAATGTAACTTATCATTAATCATTGATTCATTATAATTTGTAAGTTTGTAACTAATATTACTTATTATTAATCATTGTAAATTATAAATTCATTGTAACAACTAACTAAATTAGTTTAAATTAATCACTTTTTATGTGTTTCTTAAATCATATACCAAGGATTTTAGGTATAAGTGATCAAATAAATGCCAATTAAACCACAAAATGATTTGAACATAAGTAATGTGTTCAATTATGAATAAATTTGGGGATCAAATCAGTAATAATTTTTAAATCATTGAGGAGCATAATGAATGTATTATAATTTAGGAGCCCCAATTTGTAAATTAAAAATTACAAAATCACTTCATTTGGGAAAAGTCGGATTTCATCTTCAGCCAATGAAAATTGAAAAGTGAGAAAACAACCATTGCAAATTTGCAATATTGCATAGTGCCGTGACTGCCATCACGTAGGGCTTTCACAGCACTAACACTCCCAAGTCCCAAGTCCCAAGTCCCAATTCCCAAATCGAAGCTGCTCTCTGCCTCTCCGGCCTCCGCCAGTCCGCCGCGCTCTACGTCTCGTGTCGGCTGTGTCCTGCCGTGCTGGTTCATCTCTGCCGAGTGTCGAAGACGAAGCACCAAGATCTCACTAGTTCATCGCTGGTTCATCACTGCTCATCTCTGGCTCACTTAGGTAAGTGCTCCTCTGTTTTTGGCTCTGTGTCTCTGGCATTAAAATGGGCCAAGATCGACTAGGAAATTTGTTATCCTGAATTGATAAGGGGACGAAATCTGAGCTTCCAATTGCAAACTCTAACTGTTGTAGTAGTTTAGATTAGGTGTGATATAACATAAGCTTTGTATTTTATACACAAGAAGCTCTCTCCAGTTGTGCAGCCTTTAAAAGTTAAGGCCTTTGGGAAAAATTCCACCTTTTACCTGTTAGAAAAATTAAAAAGGAAAAAACTTGTTAAAATGAAAATTTTACCTCCTTGTCCGTGGAGATTCTCAATCTCTGGTGCACATCTAGTGAAAGTACGGCTCCAGAAGTTGTACCTAGGATTCTGGATATGAATTTTCTGCAATGTGTAAAAGAGAAACATCTAATGGCTTGCGGGGGTTGGTAGTTGCTGAACTATAAAGATTGGTTTTATATATTCTCTTAATTTGCTTCAGGTTTTTTTTTAAATAATAGATGAATTCGGTTAGACCGAATTCATTACCGTTTTCGAATTTGAAATCGGGTACCGCATGAATTCAGTAATGCCCAATTCGAAATTGAAAATGGTTTAGATTTCTATAGGTGCGATAACCGAAAAAACCGAATTCAGCGCACTGATTTACCGCATTTGCACCGAATGCTCACCCCTACCAGAAACCCCATCGCAACATCTTCTTCTCCAAATTTCACAGGGCCGCCGTCTGCTTCTCTCGTCAATCCCTCCTCGCTCTCCCGAACAAAGAGTACGGTTGAAAGAATTGAATCCAAAAACAAGGACGTTTGAAGAATCTAACTCCAAACTTCAGGTTCTTTATTGCCTCTTAGATTTATTTCCTTTCAATATTTCTTGATTTTTTTCCTCAACGTTTTCTCTTAGTTACCATCTAAAATTTCACATATACTATGCCTGATTTTCTGTTCATGCTTTCTTAGGAGACAGAGGCTGTCAAGAGAAGATCATTACCAAGAAAAATTGTATGTCATTTTGCTTCTTTGAGTTTCATTCTTCCAGATCTCGGGTTTTCACTATTATCTTTTATTTTTTGCACGCATTTTTAATAGTTCTCGTGATACTTATTTGTCTTTTTTTTTTCCGACCTTCTACGACATCTATACTAACTTATGTAATTTTCTATTATGTATGGGAAAATTGCTTGGTGTATTTTTTGGTTGTTTTGAATTCACAGTCTATTCAAATTTTAGCACAATATCTTTGGCTAAAAACTTGGTGATTATTTTTGTGTAACATTTTATAACCTTCTTTTTTTCTCATTTGTTTCCATTTTGCATATAAACAATTTATTTTTCCATTTTGCTAAAAATTGGTTGTTGTTCACATTTCAGGGTGTTTTAAATACGAGTCTTGCCTCTCCAGAACTGTGGAATTGATGAAGGCTTGCTGAAAGACTGGCATTTGAGGAATTGCTTCTGCTTGCATGTGGTTTTGGTCCTGTTGGTTTCAGCTTGAGAAAGTAATAGAGTGAAGAAAGGTCATGGGAGGTGGACGGAAAAATTTGAAGAGGGCTGTTGAGGAAGAGACCTTAACGCTTCAACAAGGGCAAAGCATCATGCAAGTTGTGGACCTGCGGGGCTCCAATCTTATTGAGGTAATATGTCCTTTACATTCAGGGCCACATTTAATTAACAAGTTGGATAATTTGTTTTAGTTGCGTCATTCATAACAGAAGCAGCATCGCATACTGCTGTACTCTGAAAATTGTTCCGATTAGAATTGATCACAAGCATTGTCCCACCTGTACCGAACCGTACGAACCATACATCTACAGATGGGCATAGCCGAAGTTTTTCATGTAGTAAGGCTTGACAATGAAGCTTCTATGAGTGATGTAACTATAGGTTAGTGATTTTTGCAGATTAATAGATATTTAGTGGTTGTTAATTCAGTTTTGAATGTATCAAAAGGTAATGGATGCAAAAGGGGAAAGATCGTTAGCTATATTTCCAGCAAAATTTCAAAAGAGCATGTGGATAAAACGAGGTTTGTTCTTTTAAATTTTCCTTTGAAGTGGGGATTTCTAGCATGATTAAAGTTGAGACTTTGATCAAGTTCTTATTTTCTTTTGCGTGAAAAATTGATATATAGGGAACTTTGTGGTGGTTGACGAGACTGGAAGGGAGGAAGCAGCTGAATTTGGTCGGAAAGTAGGTTGCGTTGTTATACAAGTGCTCTTTTATGAACGAGTACGAGTGCTCCAAAAATCTCCTGAATGGTGCGTAGTTTGAGTTTATGTTTGTTTTGTTTTCTCTTGTTTTTTAATGTTTTGCGCCATGCCTTTGCAAGATAAATTTCTAAAATAGTCTGAGAACCTAATGATTTGTTTTTTCAATACTGGCTGGAGATATTACTTAATAGCAAGGGACTTCTGTTCCTATGAATATCTGCCTCGTGGACATTTATACCAAACTTCCAGGAGGTGTGGCAAAGGTGACAAAGTTAGAGATCAATATCTTTGATGTGATTGTTTCACGTTCCTTTTTTTTTGTGTTGGGGGGGTGGGGGGTTTAAGCCAGTTTATTCTGAGTATTATCAAATTAGTTGTAGTTTCTATGGCTGGATAAAAGTGCTCCTGATTAGGAGCTTAGTAGTGTAAATAGATGCACCATGGTGTTCTAGCTCCAACTTTCTTAGTATGTAATCCTGGAAGGGCTGCTGTTATTTGTTTGATTACATCTTTAAGGCCACCCCTCCTGCTCGGAACCTGAGGGCTAAACTGACTTTCTGGGTACAACATTCACGCGCCTGCTCACATGCACGCTCAATAAGAAGGATCTTGATGCTTATGTAATTATTATGCTTGGTGATTATTGCTTGTAACTGTGCAGGCCAGAAGTATTTAAAGCAGCAACTTTAGGAAATTCGAAGCAGGATTTGCAGTCGCACACTTCAAATATGGAGGAGAATGACAATTCAAGTGATGATGATGGACTTCCACCTTTAGAAGCCAATACAAACAGATTGAGACCTTTCCAATCACATTCAGATACAGAGTCAGCTTCAGATCCTGATTCCGAGGCCTGATGCATACTTTTTCCTATTTATTATGCATGGATCTCAAGAGATGACCGGAAAACTTCTTGTAAGAATAGAAGAAAGACGTACTTCTGTCCTGTGATGCTGCTTCATGGTTGAAGCTTCACCAAGTTCAGAGCAATGCGAAATTTTGCAATGTCTGCTATATGTTTTAGGGCTTACTTTCCCACATTTGAGACTTTAAGACGGCAGTAAATCATCATACATTATGGTTAAAATTGGACTCATTTTGTGGTGTACCATCATGGTAGGATAATCTTTGAGGTGTTGCGCCCTCTATCAAGTGAGGATTATTTGCAGTTCATGAAAGGCTACTGTGGGATTCTAGCTAGTCATCTGCTGTTTCTTGTACGTCTCTGCGTGACAGTCAAAAAAATGAATGGTGTACATGTAAGCGGAGGAAAAATGAGGTAAAATACAAAGAAATCTGAAGCGGTCTTTTCATTCCAATTTTCTTGAAAATAAGCTATTTTCTTCTTCTTGTACCATTGAACTGCTACAATAAAATTAGCCTGCTTTTTAAAAATAGCAAGCTCCTCGCGACAAAATATAGGGCCTGTTTGGAACTTGAGTTTTTTGAGAATTTGTCTAAAATTTTACTGTAGTGCACTGTAGAAGTTTTTGAAAAAATTTTGTAGAAATTTTTGTAAGGTGAAAAACTTTTTTGTAGAAGTTTTTGAAATGTTACTGTAGACGTTTTTTGGATTATTTTTAGAAGTATTTTTAAAACATATTTTTGAGTATTTTATAATTTATAATTTTTATATTTTTATATTTTTAAACATTTATGCATTTATAATACATTTATAAATATTTAGAAATAAATATATTTATATATTTATATAAAAATATATAAATGTATTATATTATATATAATACGTAATATACATATATTTATAAATGTATAAATGTATAAATGTATAATTAATATAAATGTATAAACTATAAATGAATATTATATAAATGTATAAATTATAATTTAGAAATGTATATCATGATTATGTATAAATGTATTAATATAATTAATATAAATGTATAAATGTATTAATATTATGTATAAATGTATAATTAATATTGTTTATAATTTATAATTTTTATTGTTTAAATATTTATATGCATTTATGCATTCATAATACATTTATAAGTATTTATAAATAAATATATTTATATAAAAATATATAAATGTATTATATTATATATAATACATAATATACATATATTTATAAATGTATAAATGTATATATTATAAATGAATATTATATAAATGTATAAACTATAATTTATAAATATATATGATGATTATGTATAACTATATTAATATAATTAATATAAATGTATAAATGTATTAATATTATGTATAAATGTATAATTAATATTGTTTATAATTTATAATTTTTATTGTTTAAATATTTATATATATTTATGCATTTATAATACATTTATAAATAAATATATTTATATAGTTATATAAAAATATATAAATGTATTATATTATAAATATATTTACAAATATAAATACATAATATAATACATAATATATAATATATTTACAATATAAATGTATTATATTATAAATATTATAAATGTATTATATATAATACATAATATAAATATATTTACAAATGTAATAATTGTATATTATTATAAATGAATATTATATAAATATATTAATTAATATATTATAAATATATAAATATATAATATTATGTATAAATGTATTAATATAATTAATATAAATGTATAAATGTATTAGTATTATGTATAAATATATAATTAATATTGTGTGTTAATATTATGTATAAATGTATTATGTTATACATAATACATAATATAATTGTATATAAATATACATAAATATATATACATAAATGTGTAATATATATAATATGTATTATATATATTAAAAATATAATATATAATATTTATATAAATGTATAATTACATATTTATATTAATATTAATTTATATGGTATATAATATTTATATAAATATATTTTAAATAAAATAAAATATTTATAATATGTTTAAATAAATATATAAATATATAATATTATAAATATATAATATATATAATAAAATTTTGAGGGTGAGGGACCAAAAATTGAAAAAAAAAAAATTTTGAGGTTACCGGCGGCGCCGGAATAGGTGATCGGCGCCGGGAGAGGTGGTGGAGGCGGTGTCTTGTGTGGTGGGTTGGGTGAGGGAGGAAGAAAAGTTTTTGAGAAATTTTTTGTGTATAGATTTTTGAATTGTGTAGGTAAAAAACTTTGAAAAGTTTTTTGGGGTTCCTGTAGCAAAAGTTGTTAAAAAACTAGTAGCTAAAAAACTTGGTAAAAAACTAGGGTGCCAAACAGGCCCATAATGCTCTATAAGTTCAGCCGATTTAGTCACCCGAGTATCAAAAAATCTTAAACAAATCCTTACATTGGTTGGCCCGAAGAAGGCACGTGTGGTTCACAAATCTTGGAGCGTTTGATAAAATTGAAATCTGAAGTCTGAACTTTAAATTTATTAAGTTATTAAATTGTTAAGTATTGAATCTAATATTGAAATCTTGATAAAATTGAAATCTGAAGTCTGAACTTTAAATTTATTAAGTTATTAAATTGTTAAGTATTGAATCTAATATATTTGACTGTATATCATATTCAGTGATAAGTAAATAGTTTATCACTTAATTTTAAGTGCAAATTTTGCCTAAAAAATTCAGTGGCAGAGATGTTCAATTTTTTATTATCAAATGGATCTGAACATGTTAAAATCTGAGTTCATTAAATTCATTAAATTTAAGTCTTGAATGAGGTTATCAAACTGCATCCAACTTCATTTCTCTAAATTAAGGCCAAAGCCAATAAGTGATTCAACAAATTGATTGTAGAGATTGGTGATATTTTACCCCCAAATAAGTATTTTTAACGGTGTCTGAAACTGAAAGTCACACCTCCGTAAGAAGATGAAAAGTATGTTCTGCCTATTCTAATGGGCTGCATTCCTATTTGTCAAGTTAACATGTGTAATGAAAATGCGCACGCTAATTGGGCCGGACGGGACAAAGTCAGTCTCCTTAGAAAAAAAAAGGAATATCTGGAGCCAATCTATTAAGAAATAAGAAAGAAAGAAAGAAAAACTCCTAAAGGCGTAAGAGAGGGTTGAGGTACACAAGACGATTGAACTTGGAAATATTAGTGGTGGAGTGGATGGTGGGGGTGGTGGAGTGAATTTGGGTTCAAAGCTCAAGTTGTGAACTGAGAAAGGAGACGTGGGAAAATAAAAAATGGCGGGTGTTTCATTGATGAGAGGGATGGTTAATGATGGCTGCTTGTCTATCTTTCATCACCAGTCGCGGCAGGTTTCTTCTTATTAGTCCAAGTTTTATTTATGCTTTCTTTCTCTTTACTGGTGGACGTTATGTTGTCCAATTTCATATGCTAATAAGAATTTTAAATCTTGATTACAGTTAGCGCCAGTAACCGTGTCAAGCAGAAGCAGATCAACAGCAGCGAGAAAGCTTCAATTTCTTTCTAAAAGATCCTCCTTTTATGCTCGATACTCTCAGTCCCGAGATATTTTCACTTCTCGTGTTCAAGGTTGCCCAAACTTTTATCGTATATTGGCTCCATGTCTGCATCCCCACTTTATTGTTTTCTCTATGTAAAAATTTGATTCCTATATTTAAGTTTAATTCTGTTAATTTAGTTGTAGAATCAGATTGCCAGTGGAATTCAAGAAAATAATTTTATCTGGGAATTTACCCATTTTGATTCTGGATGCATAATTAGTTTGAGTGAAAATTTTTAGTGCATTTCGAGTGTCTGAGAAATTCCTGCTCAATCCTATTCAGGCTCCGGGTTGAGACTTGGGACGGAAGTGTGCTCTGGGAGGAGCTTGATTTTTTGTTGGGTGTTAGTACTTTGTGTCAAAGTTGATTTTACCTGGTGAAATGTTGGCCTTCCGCACGAGATATGAATCACAAATTCAAATCAGAAAAAAGAAAGGAAGAAAGAAAATTAAGATACAGAAACACGCCTTATTTTTATCTTATTTCTGTTTAGTTTCTATTCTGAGCTTTTTTTTCCTTCTTATTCTTTCTTTCCTTTAAAACACACCAATTAAGAGAATCCTGTATGAATTGTATCTTAATTTGACTCCAGAGTTCATTAGACAAAGGGATTAGAAGAGGAAATGAATCCTGTTTAAGATTTTTTAGTATTTGGATTGATGCTTATTGCTGAAATGGCACTACTATTATACAGTTCTCTTTAACTTAGAACCCCCATCAATAGACCTTTTCTCTTCCGCTGTTCGTTTTCCTGTCAGAATTTTGTCTCTCCACACGGTGGTGAAGGGGGATGGGGAGAGGGAGGGAAAGTATGTAAATGTGTGTGCGCAACTATTTAAAAATGTATTCTTGTATTAGTCTTACTTTAGTTGGTTGCATAGTGCTATTAAGCATGAACTTCCACAGATCGCATTGAAAAGTTGCCCAAACTGGTAGAGGATATTGTCCAGACATCCTTAAGCACTGGTCCACGTGGAGCCCTAAGGCTAGCTCAAGGCATTCAAGCAGTTCTTGGAGTAGGAAGCGAGTGGCTGGCAGATTTGTCAAAGGTACAGGCAGTTCTATATCTTTGTTATAATTGGTTACATCTTTAGATTTTCTGGTAACTGGTTTGATGTCTTTCTTTCTTCTCTCTTACCTTCCCCTTCTTCCCTCTTCTTCTCTTTATTTTTTCCCCAGGATTTTGCATAGTAAATGAACAAGGAATTTCATTGAAAAGTAATTCTGGGTAATTTTGTCTAGACAGCAAACTCATCCACCACATTACCAACTGAGATGCAGCTTGGATTGTTGTCTCCCCTGTATTTGAGAAGATTATTTGAACGAATGGGTGCAACCTACATCAAACTTGGTCAAGTAAGTAAATAGTAATGCTCACCCAGTTCTTTTTATGTTTTGTAATTTTGAAGTTTGCTTTTTGTGCCTTTTTCATTTCAGGATGATTTTGTTGTAATGCTTGAATTTGTATACATTTACTTGTGGTTCCATTATTATTTGCTTTTTCTTTATGGGTTCTCTCATTTATCTATACCTTTAAAATTATACAATCAGTTATGCATACATCCACCACATTATACAATCACTCATGTACTGTTTTTCTTGCATTTTGTAGTTCATTGCTTCTTCACCAACATTATTCCCACCGCAATACGTACAGGAATTCCAGTACTGTTTTGACAGAGTACCTGCAGTTCCTTTTGCAGATATTCAAGCAATCTTGCGTGAGGAATTAGGCCAACCAATCGATGCGATCTTTGAGTATGTTGATCCTACCCCACTTGCCTCTGCTTCTATAGCACAGGTCTACTCCCTTTCCATGCTTCATCTTGATAATATTTAATAGTAAAGTCTTAAGAGCTTGATCATTGACTGTCACTCACCCTTTTAACTG